AAGATATGCAATTTGAAGGAACTCTTTAAGACTGATCCAAATCAAATTGCCTAAGATAACCTACTTAATAAACAATGCTATGTATCTGAACTGCAGAAATAAAATTGGCTTTTAAGAAGATGCAAATCTAGTATTAAGCCAGTACCGACCTGGACAGCCACTTGGTCCTTCCAGACTCTTTATGTCTCCCATTATTAAAACTCTTCACTCTATGACTTATCATAGAAGAGATAAAATGATCCAAACTGTGAAAAAAATATGGGTGTGCTGAGTGTTCTAAAATTGCTAAAATCATTTATGACCAATGTTTTGTTTATCAAGCCCATATTCCTGGGCAGAAAAAAATTTCAAGTATACTTCTGATACCTAATGGGCTATTTGAAAATTTACAGGGGAATTTTCTGTTGGCACTTTTGGTGCATGTTTCCTGGTTGTCTAAAAAAGGCTGCTCATGCAAGAAATCTGATACTAGCTCAAAGATGTAAAAATGTTTCTTTTGTGAGGAATTCTTGACGAAATCTCAAGTGATAAAGGTACTCATTTCAGTAATCAATTTATTAAATGGCTACATAAGACATTATAAATATAATAGCCCTAGGCAAACCTGACTGAATTGTTAGTTTACCTTTGTCAAAGGTATTGTAGAGTAATACCTCTCCTCTGGAAAACTAAGTTGAACCCTTATGAAATAGTCAATGAGAGGCCTATAAACCTATTAATAGTATCTCAAGTGGCTGGGGATGTAGTTCAGTGGTAGAGTACATGCCTAGAATGCATGAGGCCCCAGGACCGATCCCTGGCCTGGTTAAAGAAAGAGAAAAGAAAAAAAAAAATGTTTCCTAAACCTATAGTACTAAATGCTATAAGATTTTAATGCAGTATATGCCAAAGTGTATTTTCAGGTGAAGAAAGCTTTTCATGAGCCACAAACTAAGAATAATCAAATCTTTCACAATTCAGAAATTGGAAACTATCTTCCTAAAATTTAAGAGAAAGACAGTCCTAGGGCTGGGCATCCTGGCGCAGGCCTAGAATCCCAGTGGCAAAAATCATGAGACTTATCTGAAAAATAACTAAAGTAAAAGGGCTGAGTAAGCTTGATGCAAGTGGCTTATGCCTATAATCCTAGTTATTAAGGAGACAGAGATCAGCGAATTACAATTCAAAGCCAGGGCAAAATAGTTCATAAGACCCTATCTTGAAAATACCCAACATAAAAAAACAGGGCTGGCGGACTGGCTCAAGTATAGAGTACCTGCCTAGCAAGCATGAGGCCCTGAGTTCAAACCCCAGTACCACCAAAAAAAGGGGGAGTAGGGGTTTGAGTGACAAGAGCTCCCACCTAGCAAGCACAAGGCCCCCGGGGTTCAAACTCAACTACTGCCAAAGAAACAAAGAAAGATTTCCCTTGAGCTCTGTTGGAAGGGACCACACCAAGTTCTTCTCATCACCCACACTGCAAAACTTTGGGGTCCTCAAACCTTGGGTCGAAATATCTCACAACACACAAGGGCCATCCAAAATTCTTATAACTATCATACAATCATACAGTAAAACTACACAAAGAAGTTTCTCCCTCTTTCCCAAGTAGATGGCATTGTAGACATGCACAGCTTTTCCCAAGATCACACATCACTTCTCAGCCATCATAAAGCCTTATCTATCCCTTTTACTCCCTGCTGTCCTAACCTTTCCCTTTCCCCTACAGGAAATCCATGGGACCATAATTCGTGGATGGCTTTACCTAAAGCTTATTGTCTAGCAAAACCCAGAGCAATTGTTGGGCTTATGAAGACAAGTTTTTCCAGTGAGAGAAGTTTCCAACTCGGTTATTGCATTGCTTACTCATGGCGGTAGTGAAATTTGAAACTAATTCATAAATTGAGGAAAAGTCTTGGATTTCATGACCAGCCAGACCTCCCAGAGGTTCAAACAGGTTAAGTCACCCTCCAAAAACCAGATGATTTATGTGTTTGAAAAATACTTAATTGAGCTAGGGATGTAACTAAAAGGTAGAATGAAAACTTAGCAATGTGCAGGTCCTGGGTTTAATCTTCAGGACCAAAGGAGAAAAAAATCCCCAAAATTTAATGGGTCATCTTGCAGGTTTGGATCTTTTTGCTTAAGCTGGGGGCTTATATATGGTATTTTGCAAAACTAAATGTTGTATGTATCTTTCCCCTAATTTTTGCTACTACAAAAAGCTGAATGAAAAAGACTTGCTTCTTGAGACATTGCCGTAAGACATACTGTAGAAATTTCTCAAGGGAATAGAATATACACTTACAGAACCAGCTAACAATTGGTTTACAGGCATCCTAAGTGGACAGATGGCAAACCTGGTTTTTCCAAGATTTTCTAACTTATATGTTCTAGTGAGTGTCCAGATTATTGTGACTTGTGTTGATAGTCTAAAAGACACAACTGGATACATCTTTAAACCAGCCCATTCTGTAATGAACTTATAGCACTTAACCACTATCACACCCTGAACACACAGTATGATCAACTGGACTTAAATACTATGAAATTGTCTATACTGCCTGGTTTGATTTCTTTGGTTTTAACTGTTTTAGCTTATAGGGGCTCTTATTAAGGCATACACTTCAGTCTGTCAGGATTATTCTCCTGATAGTCACCATAGTAGTCCCCTGTTGCACTGTGTCCTCTCAATGTAGTCACTATCTGTCGAATAGTCTCACTTCAACTAGATCAGTAGAAACAAGTAACTATTAACTAATGTGACTTGTGAATTCCATACTGAGACCAAACAGGTCCTTTACAATAGTGATAGAGAAATGCTAATGTCCAAAGTTTTGCTCAATGTCTCAAAATTGACAGACTGACTAAAAAGGAGAAACTGTTAAATAAAATTAAATTTGGTAAGGTTCCTACCTAGCAGGTGTGCAGCCCGGAGTTTAAATTCCACTGCCAAAACAAAAAACAAAAAAACCCACATAAATTTGGCCTAAGGAAGCATCTGTACTCGAACCCTTATGCAATAAATTGCATTGCAACCTAATTTAGTACACAAAATTACTGAAAGCCTAACTTCGGAGTACTCTTTCATAATGGCTAAGCCTCAGATAGTACAGCAGATAAGCTTCAGTGAATCACAAATGGCCAAATGTTAAGCCATGTTCAAATCACAAATGCCGATCTATAACAGTGCAGCTGTCTCTGTACCTCACTTCCATTTTCTGCTCATAAATGCTTTTCTGCCACATGACACACTGAAGTTTGCAGAACCTGTCATGGTTCTTTGAGAACTATCCCATTCTGTCATTGCAAATAAAAGCCAATTAAAGCTGTAAATCTAGATTTGAGAAACAAAAATTTAAAACATTATTAGCTTTAGTTATTATAAATAAAGCATCTGAATCTTTTAGAGCTAATTATAACTTTTAAAGAATTCTTAATTTCTCATGCCATCTGTTGAGATTTTGATATTAAAAAAACAGGATTCAAAAACAAAACCATTTTTATATCTTTTGGGTTCTGTATTGCTACTTTCTATGTATATGTTTCTCAAATACTACTGACTACACTGGTCTCTCTTATGAGAAAAACTGCATATGTAATTCTATCAGTGATGCCACTAGATTTTTCATTTCCACAAGCAAGTTCCCAAAATTACAACCACCTCCATTAGTACTTCTGTATGTGTGAGTGTTCCCACCTCTGGTTTCTTGAATGCTGAAACTACTCATGCTTCAACTGCTCCAGTGTCTTTTGCTTTGGCAGTACTGAAGTTTGAACTCAGGACCGTGTGCTTGCTAGGCAGGTACTCCTACCACCTGAGCTATCTCCTTAGCCCTTGCTACTTTAGTTATTTTTCAGATAGGGTATCACACTTTTGCCCCAGGCTGGCCTGCACTGTGATCCTCTAACCTATGCTTCCTGTGAAGCTGGAATTACACTGTGTACCACCACACAGGCTTGTCTGTTGAGATGGGGTCTTGTTAACTTTTTGCCCCAGATGGCCTTGATTTTTATCTCCACCTCCCAAGTAGCTGGGATTACAGGTATGAGCCAACATGGCTGCCCAACCAGTGTGTCTTTTGAAAACAAAAAAAAACTTACTAGGCCATCCAAGAATTCAAAATCTCAATATTCTATATTAGGCAGATCCCACTTAATGTAATATTTTAATCACAAAAGAGCAAATTTAAGAAATAAAACATTATATATTTAAATTACACTCGGCACATTAGAATACTACATCAAATGTGTCATCACAGCTCACAGACAAATGTAATGAAAAGAAATGTGGTAAAAAATATTATATTTTAATTTTACTTTCATTTTAAATTAAAATAAGGCATAAGAAAAAATTTAAGACCACAATGAAAACTGACCTCTGAAAGATGCAAACCAAATAGTAATAGAATAAGCTTTAATATATATATATAATTTAGATGTCATTTCATCAGCTGTTAGTCACATCAGTCTAAATTTTACATTATATATTAAAATATTAAAAAGCTAAAAAATTATTGCAATATAGATACAATGTGGGAAAATACGTATTTGTGGCTTTATACACAATCAAAATTAATCCATTCTATACAACAGTTTTCCAAAATATAAATACTACTTTGCATGCAGTAGAACATGCCAGCTGGATGTCCTCATATAATTTAATATATAGGAAAATAAAGAGAAAATATCCCTTTACCAGACAGTTACATAACAGAGGTGGAATGTAGAATAAGATTTTTGCCTTAACACAAGCTTGAAAAAAATTAAAGAAATATGAAAAAGGACAGTTTCTAGCATTTTGAATCAGCATTTATTAAAGCAAAGTCTTGAATTATAGCACAACAGAGAAAAACAAAAGAGAAAAGAGAGAGCGAAAAATAGAAAACCTGATCCGTTATGAATTTTAAACATCCCTGCCTAAGGTTTGCATTTAGGCTGCTTTTCTGTTGACAGTTTCCTAAATTACTTCTGCCACTCTGAATTGTGTTTCAGTAGTCAGATGAGTTTTCCAGACTTCACTATGCCATTGTGTAACCATAGCTGCCACAATGTAGTGCCACAAGAAGTCTGTCCTTGAGTATTTCTTTACTTGGGTATTCAGGTAACTTGAGCATGTTGATGCTTTAAAAGAAAAATACACCACCATTAAACAGAAAATCTATGAAAATTCTGATTGTTTTATCTAGCAGTGAAAACACTACTCATAGTTAACATAAAAACACTCTCAAATTCACATTCAAATTGGAAAACCCTGAAGTAGTATTTAAAAAAAAAAAAAAAGAAAGAAATTGTTGCATTGCAGTTTCTTTCAGCATGCAAATATAAGTAACAGAAAGTTAACTTCCTTTCAGGTTAAAATAAGTAACAGAGCAATTTAGTTTGAAGTGATGGTAACTCAATGATATTTACGACAGGGAAACATCAGTGATTCTTGAACCATATTCAATTCAATTTTAGGTGGTTAGGGTTTCCCCAAATATTTTCCCTCCAAAAAAAATGGGAGCAAAAACTATGTAACAGCTTATCTACTGGTGTTTCCAAAAATCCTAAACAGTAATCATAAAGTTTTCCTTTCCTTATAGGAATACAGTAGTTAAAACTTTGATAATTTAAAATTGACCAAAATAATTAATTTCAATAAACTAATTTAACTTACCATGTGCTTGAAGTTGGTAAAAGATTTGGAGTATATGGCACAGCAGCGATTGTGAAGTTTTGCAATCCACTTCCACCCATGATATTAGCAAACCCACCATGTGGGACCCTAGAACTAAGAGTTTGTATCATAAGTTGCAATTATAAAAGGAAAAATCTTTGACAGATAAATATTTCAAGTTTAAAGTTAAGGTCAGAATACATTCAACTCTAGGACAATGACAGATAACATTTTTTGAGTCTGTAAAACTCCCAGCTCATTCTTGTATGTTATTTTGTGACTATCTGGCAAGCCAGAAACAGCCCTCCACATTGTCATCAGCTATATGATATATTCGACTGGCCACAACATATACCTCTACTATTATATGTTAGCAAAATACATTTATAGCTATTTGTTTTCATGTGCTTCCCTACTAAATGGAGACTCCCAAACATGTTATATTTCCATCTGTATTCTTGAAGTTAGCAAAATGCCTGGCATATAGTAGACATTCAGTATTTGTTAATAAATGAATGTTTGGTTGACTAATTTAAGCAACAAAGTCTCTTATATGTTGTGACCCAATGGTTTCCTTCCTTGTGAAAAATAGGGAAATTCAAAGTGGTTTTTGTTCTGTTTTGTTTTTCACAATAGGAAAAGTAGAAAATTTTTTATATTTCTCTTTCCAGATATTCAGAATATCAAACATTTTTTGAAGTCATTTAACATAATGAGACCACAAGGCTAGATTCAATGCATAAAACATCACTATAAATTTTAATCTTAGATACTTGGCCACAGAGGCTATAATTACGTTTCAAGTTTTACACATCTGAAAGTAAGTTAATACTTCAAATTTCTCTGTGTATGTATTATGATTAAACAAATAATCCTGAAAATGTTTTTGATGCTTTTTAAATGAAATGCTGTAGGCTGGGGTATAGCTCAGTGGTAGTCTTTTGCCTAGTAGGGGAGAATCCCTCAGTTTGATTCCAGTGCTACAAATAATAAGATGCTATAGTGCTTTTGAGATAAATTACAATGACAAGGAACGTTTAATTTATAGGTATTAAATGTATACTTAAGCACAGAAGTACAACTAATATTTAAAAAATTTTCTAACGTATAACTCATTATACAAAGGATGGCCAGGGGTTGTGAAGTGTACCCATAGTCCCAGCTTCTGGAGAGGCTGAGGTGGTAGAATCACAAGTTCAAGGCCAACCCAGACAACTCAGTACAAAGCAAAATTCAGACCACTTAAAATGATTTTGCAAATAGCTAAATCGATCTTGTAAAAGGAAAATAAAGGTAGAGGTTCACACATACTGATTTCAAACTTATCACAAGTATAGTAATCAAAACAGTGTAGTATGGCATACAGACAGACATACAGAACTGACAGCATGGCTTGAGGGGTACAATGCTGCCTATCAAGCATGAGACTCTGAGTTCAGCTCCCAGGACTGCCAAGAAAAAAAGAAAAGAAAAGAAAAAGACATACCAACCAATATAATAGAGTGCCCAGAAATAACCTATTCCCTCACTCTTTAATCAAATCATTTTCACAAGAGTATGTCAAGAACATTCAATGAAGAAAGGGAAATCTACTCAACAATGTTCTGGGAAAACTGAATACTCATTAAAAAAAAAAAGAAAAAAGAAAGCTGGGCCCTTACCTTGTACTATAAAAATTAAGACAGATCAAAGATCTAGACATCTTTACAGCTAAAAGTATAAAAATCTTAGACAAAAAACATAAAAGAACTGTTACTGGGATTAAGAACAGCAGCTAACGGATTGATATCCAGAATATATAAAGAATTTCTATAATAAAGCAAACTCATTTAAAAAATGAACAAAGGAGGACTGGCAGTTTGGCTCAAGTGATAAAGACCTGCCTAGCTGTGAATTCAAACCTAGTACCGGGGTTGGGGGTTGGGGGTGGCAACCAAGTATTCTCCAAGAGATATCCACATTGCCAGTAAGCACATGATGAAAAGATGCTCAACATCACTAATCTCTAGGGAAACACAACCAAAACTACAATAAAATATCACTTTGCAATCATTAATATGGTTATTAGCATTATAAAAACAGGAAACAAGTACTGGAAACAAGGTGGAAATATTGCTGATGTTAGTGGAAAATGGTGTGACTCTGTAAAAACAGTATGACAGTCCTCAAAATATTAAAAATAGTTCAGTGGTAGAGTGCTTGCCTAGCATTCGTGAAGCCCTGGTTTGATCTCCAGCACCAAAAAAGACAAAAAAAAATTAAAATTCACTATTACAACAAAAATAGAATTCAAGATTACAACATAATCTAGCAATTTCACTTCTTTTTTATAATTAAAACTTTTTCCTTTATTGTTGTGCTGGGTAGGGGGTACACTGTGGCATTTACAAAGGTTCTTACAATATATCAAATATGTCATACTTGAATTTGCCCCCCCCACACACCATTCTCCTTTATCCCTCCCTCCACCAATTCCTGGAATAAGTATCTTTTTTGCATTACAAAAATGCAAATTTACATGTGTACACACCTTTTGCACCATATTCACTGTCCTATCCACTTTCCCTGCCACCCTCCACTCCCACTGGGACCAAGCCTCCCACCCCACCCGGCAGGACTTGTTCTGCTCTCCTGTTCTCCTTTGTAGAAGAAAAAAGAAAAAGAAAAACATGACATTTTTGTTTCAGATAAAGGTAGTTACACAGGGAGTTTCCTTGTGATAAGCCAAGCATATATGTATTATAACCCCAACAGGATTATCTCCTCTAATTTTCTTCATTCTACTTTGGTCCCTTTCTTATGGTGGTTCAGCCAGTTTAAGATTTCTATATTCATTCTTGTATAGATGGTGTATCAACTACACTCAACATCTTAGTTTCCTTCTTTTATCCTACCCCTCCCAAAAGTGATCTCCCCTTAGTGTGACTAGTGTTTCACATATCGCTGCATTTGCATTAGGTCTATATTCCGCATATGAGAGAGAAGATGTGGTTTTTGGCCTTCTAGCCTGGTTAACTTCACTTAAGATGATGTTCCCCAGTTCCATCCATTTACCTGCAAATGACAAAATTTTAATTCTTCTTTGTGGCCGAGTAAAATTCCACTGTATATAAATACCACATTTTCTTAATCCATTCGTCAGCAGTGGGGCATCTTGGCTGTTTCCATAGCTTAGCCATTGTGAATAGCACTGCAATAAACATGGGTGTGCAGGTGCCTTTATTGTAACCTGACTCACATTCCTTCAGGTATATCCCTAGGAGTGGTATTGCTGGATCGTGTGGCAGATCTGTTTTTAGTTTTTTGAGAAGCCTCCATACTGTTTTCCATAGTGGTTATACTAATTTACATTCCCATTAGCAGTGTGTGAGAGTTGCTTTTTCCCCACATTTTTTGCCAACATTTGGTGGTAGTGTCTGTCTTCTTGATGATAGCTTTTCTAACAGGAGTGAGGTGGGTTCATAATGCAATTCTGATTTACCTTTCCTTTATGGTCAGGGATGGTGAGCATTTTTTTCTTCATTGAGTCACTAATTTTATGAGCGTTTAGTTTTTTGAGCTCCCTATATACTCTGGTTATCAATTCACTGTCTGACGTATAGCTGGCAAACATCTTCTCCCATTCTGTGGATAGCCTCTTCAATTTAGAAACCATTTCTTTTGTTGTGTAGTCCCATTTATCAATCCTTTCTCTTATTTGCTGAACCACTTGAGTTCTACTGAGGAAGTCACTGCCTATTGCTTCCAATATATTCCTTGCTCTTTCCTGTACTGGCTTCAAAGTTTCAGGTCTTATATTAAGGTGCTTAGTCCACTTTGAGTTGATTACTGTACAAGGTGGTAAAAGTTTATCTAGTTTTAGTATTCTGCAGGCAGATAACCCAATTTTCACAGCTGTCTTTTCTCCATCGTATGTTTTTGCAGCCTTTGTCAAAAATTAGGTGGGCATAGCTGCATGGATTCATGTCTGGGTGTTCTATTCTGTTCCACTGGTCTTCATGTCTGTTTTAGTTGCCAATATTATGCTGTTTTTATTGCTATGGCTCTGCAGCATAGTTTGAAGTCTGGTATTGTGATACCTCCAGTGTTGTTCTTTGTGCTCAGTATTGCCTTGGCTATTTGCCATCTTTTGTGCTTCCAATAAACATTAGTATTGATTTTTCAATCTCTGTGATGTCATTGGAATTTTGATGGGAATTGCATTGAACATGTAGATTATTTTTGGTAGTATAGCCATTTTCAGTATATTGACTCTCCCAATCCATGAGCATGGGAGATCTTCCCATCTTCTGTAGTCTTCAATTTCTTTCTTCAGTGGTTTGTAGATATGCTTGTAGAAGTCTTTCACAATGTGTTCACTGTTGGTATATAGAAAAGCTACTGATTTTTCTAAATTGATTTTGTATCCTGTTACTTTGCTGAAGGTGTTTACGATGTGCAAGAGTTTTTTGGAGGAAGTTTTTAGGTCTTTTAGGTATAAGATAATGTCATCTACAAATAGGAATAGTTTGACTTCTTCCTTACCTATTGTTGTTTTTTGGGTTTTTGTGGTATTGGGTTTGAACTCAGGGCCTATACCTTAAGACACTCCACTAGCCCGTTTTTGTGAATTTTTTTCTTTCCCTGAGATAGGGTCTTACAAACTATTTTGGCAAGGCTGGCTTTGAACTGCAATCCTCCTGATTCTGTGCTTCCTAAGTAGTCATGATTACAGGCATGAGTCACAGCTACCTGGCTGTTTTCCTTTTATTTCTTCCTCTCTTATTGCTCTGGCTAGGAATTCCAAGACTATGTTGAACAGGAGTGGAGAGGATGGGCACCCTTGTCTCTGTCCTGACTTTAGTTAGGGAAATGGTTTCAGTACTTCCCTGTTAAGTATGATGTTGGCTATAGATTTGTCATATATAGCCTTTATAATGTTGAAGTACATTCCTTCTATTCCTGGTTTCATCAGGGCTTTTATCATGAAAGGATGGTGAATTTTATCGAAGGTTTTTTCTCCATCTATTTAGATGATCAAGTGGTTTTTGTCTTTGCTTCCGTTAATGTGCTGTATTACATTTAATTAATGATGTACATATGTTGAACCACCCCTGAATCCCTGAGATGAAGCT